CCATATATCACTTGTATGTTTTAGAGTTAGAATATTGTTCCAGATCTACAAATCATAACAAAACCCTACTAAAGTGATTAATGATACTTTGTTAATACATTTCTACTGTGTATGTGGAATGAGTATGAAGAAAGAATAAAAAAAAAATACTGGGACCAAAGATATAAAAAAAATGAACATTTTCTGGAATAAATATTATAGATTCCACCAAGTGAGACACAACGAGAATTTTAATATCTTGGGACAACAAATGTGTTATCACCGTCTTCCAAACATAAGAAACATTAAGATAATAAGTTCTGTTCCCTTATACATACAATGGTCATAAATGTCAAACATGCTTTCTTAGAAATAATTTCTGCATTGGTTAAATTGTTTGAAATATATATATATTTGTGAATGTCGACTATTTATAAGATATAGTAATACATGACATGATTTAACCCCTTAAGGACAGAGCTTCAGAAGCTTGTCTTTCACTTAATGAAAACAGCATTTTTTTTTCATTTTTTTGCTGTTTGCGTTCAACTGCAATTTAAGGACCAAACTTCTAGAATAAAAGGGAATCATGACATGTCACACATGTCATGTGTCCTTAAGGGGTTAAAGGACAGAAAGGGCTTTAATTTAATGTAACACACACATATATATAAATGCTTATTTATTATAAAAAAAAAATACAGAAAAATGCAAAAAAAATTAAATTTTTGTGTTTTTTTTTACAGTTTTTGCAATAATAATGTGTGCATAATTAGTGCAGGTTAAGGAAAGTAATTAAAAATAAATTCATTTAGTTGTTCTGATTTACAGAATATATAATGTGTCTGGGATTTTAAGTTTTTTTTGGTAGTTACAGGTCACAAAGCACAAGGAGTAAAATAAACTTTTAATGTGGAGCGATTTTAGAATTTGGTATGTTTGCCTTGTAAGCTTAATAGCCATAAAAGAAAACAAAATTGCCACACAAAAGTATATATTTATATAAAGTAGACATCACAGGCTATTTACCTAAGGTTGTTTTGACACTTTCTATACAGCCATTTCACCGCCAACCTCTGCTAAATATTGGAGTAAAATTGTGTTTTTTGGGGTTTTTGGCACACTAACTTATAACAAAGAAATTCTCATGTGTATTTTGTAGGTATTGGTGAGGCCCTGGGAAAATAGCACAGCTAAGCGGACAAGGGCACATGTAGGAGTGTGGGGATAGATGCATGGGATTGGTTGGTAAAGAGTGTGTGGGTGGGATTATGTTCTGTGTAAGTTAGTGTGGGGGAGGTCTTACCTCAGTGCCACTTGGGATTCGGGCCAGCAAATAGCTTCCCTCCCGCCCGCCCTATTAGTATATTTGTCACAGCTAGCCAGGGGGTATGTCCTTGCCAATTGAGTTTGAGGGGTTACGTTTAAGTATATGGAATGAGATGAACAAGTTTTTAAGGTCTCAACCTCCCCTGCTTCAAACGGTTAACATTAGGTTACCTGAGGTGTCGTGCCCATTGAGCGTGGATAAGGTCGGCTGATGGCGGGCATTGGAAAGATATGATTTTTATGACGAGGGGGGAGGTGAGAGGAAGTGGTGATTAGGAACCACTGTATGTTTATTGGCAAGGACGGTTGGGTCACTGTATAACACTATGTGTGGAGTTATATATGTATATATGTTAAGTTATGCTTATTTATGTCTAACGTTTTTGGTTACAGAAAAAGAAGAGATTTAATAAATAAAGTTATGGATGTGTTATGCAGTAATTTAGTTTGTGATAATAAATGCTGTGGTCTGTTTCATCCATACTAAGTGGTCTGTCATTATTGGGGGGTTGAATTGGGTTAGTTTTTGTTCTAGGCTGCATCGCGATTCCACACTACGTACATACATGTGCTATCCCTGTGCAAAGTTTTATTTTGTGTTCAGTTACATCTGCTGAGTAAAATGACACCCCCATTGTACGTCTTTGGCACTATTTCATGCTATTAAGTTACAGTGCCATATAAGAGGCCTGTTCTTTTCAGTATTCACAGTAGAATTTTGAGAGACGGATTTAATGAGCCTATGCTTCCATTTGGGGTATTATTACAGTTTGACTGTTCAAAAAAGCCCACAAAGGCCTACCATTTGTAAAAGTAGACACTCCAGGGTATCTTATAAGGTGCATATTGTGCCTTAACACGCCCCCATTTTTTCACCAATATATGCCAAATTATGTGGTAAAAAATATTTTTTTGCATTTTTTACAAATGGATTGCATTTTTGCTGGGCATTTTGTATATTTCACATGTGCCACTAAGTTCAAACCCCCCAAATTATGCTCGGCTAAGTCTTCTGAGTAAAATGACACCCCTATTGTATGTCTTTGGCACTATTTTGTGAAGCTACAGTGCCATGTAGGAGACCAAGCCATATCAATTTTTACCGAACTTTGAATTTTGACGCTGGGCCTATGTGCAATTTCCAAGCATCTTAGCAGGGTTTAAATTCAAACTACCCCATGAAGGCATACCATTTCTTAAAGTAGACACCTCAGGATATTTCAAAAGGTTTATTTTGAACCTTAGCGTGAGATCATTTTTCCGCTAGCTTGTACCAAGTGTAGTGGTAATAAGTGTTTTTTCTGCCTTTTTGACACACAAAGTGAGTTTGCACAGTATATTTTGCAAACCTTATGTGTGCTACCACCGTATAATACTTCATATGTTGCTCAGCTATGTCAGCTGAGTACAGCAATACCCCTGTATGTACCTTTGCCAGGTATATGTGGACATCGGAGGGGCACATTTGGGACACAGCCATTCCAGTTTTTTTCTAACTTTGAAGTTTTATGCTGTGTCCATGTTCCAATTTGGAGTTGTTTAGACTGTTGGTTATTGAAACTTCCCCACAAACACATACTATTTATTAAAGAATACACCCTAGGGTAATTCAAAAGGCATATTTTGAACCTTAGCGTGGGATCATTTTTTCTCTATATTCTCTATACCGCGAGTAGGGGAATGTCTATTAAACAGTGAGCATAACTCTCTGATTGGTGGATTAAGTAACCAATCAGAGAGTTATGAATCAAATTACACAGCGTGGGAAAATTTCAAAGAACTTTCCCACGCTGTGTAAAATGACACAGAGCCCTCTGATTGGTGGATTTCAAGCCAACCAATCAGAGTGCTGTGACAGGTAAATGTAGAGACTTACCTGTCAGTCTCTTCATTTATCTGTCAGAGCACTCTGATTGGATGGCTTAAACCCACCAATCAGAGTGCTCTGAGCCTAATTGCAGGGCGGGGCAAGACTTTATAAGCCTTCCCCCGCCCTGCAGAGGTCAGTCTGCGCGGAGCCCTACCATGGTGAAGATGGGATTTTTTTTTTTGCACTCAGTTTTTTTTTTTTTTTTTAAGAGCGTCGGTTATTATGGATTTTTTTTTTGGACTTTTTTGGGGCTGGAAAAAGACTTCGGAACTCCGGCACTTTGACACCTCGGAACTTCGGCAACTTCGGCACTTCAGCAATTCGGAACTTCGGCACTACTACATTTCAGAAATTCGTTAATTTCTGAATTTCTGGACTTCAACCATTCGGCAATTCATCTATTCGGACATTCGGAAGTACCCGAATGTCCAAATTGCCTGTAATTCGTCCGAATTCACATTCGGACTGAAACTAATTCCACATGTCTAGCTTGGCATCTTTAACCTCATTAACTCTGTAACCATAGGAGGAAAGTTCCAAATCCACTGGAACCAACCTTTTTTATTTTGAAAAGAGAACTATAACTTTTCTGGAAATCATGATTTTTAAAAATACAATGAAAGTCACCTATATTGCGTGTTAACATTTTTTTATATTTTCTTTTAAATTTTATCATAATCCAGTTTAGACAAGGCACAGCCAAGGCTCACAATGCAAATGAAACATTGTTTCATTTCTCCTCTTTCCTGAATGCTCCGTTTATGTTATTGTTTTAGTGGTCAGGAGTTCGAGATGTATTAGAAAACATTACACATATCTACAGGAAATTGATTGGTTGTCTATCAAGCACACACACTTTCAATTAGAAACCCCTTTTCTGGAAGGTTTGAGTCTGTCACTACCAGTCATCAAAACAGGGATTTATTCCCAATTCCAGCTAAATTGGAGATTTTTTTTTAGGAACAGATTTTGCCCTTAATTGTCCAAGACTGTTTTAAATGTGTTAAATGGACATTCTGGGCAATAGGCATCATAACCACTTCATAAGATTGAAGTTTTTATTGTACGTGAAGTCCTTTGGAAGTACCTGACTGTTTAGTATTAAATCGTTTTCAAACAGTTTGAGATTGAATGAGGGATCTCGACCCCTCTCTGCTGCTCAGACTAATTTCTCAGCCAGACCAGCGATGGGCAGCAATGATAGTTGGAAAGCGTCAGCTAAGCGCCCTTGGCCTATCACTGCCATCCATTGTAGGATTGACTTATTTTGGGTAATGTGAAGTTATACTTCTTTTAGTCATAGCCTCTATGGGGCAAACCAATGGAAAACAGTTTAATAGTTTCGAATTTAGTCATGAGTCAGAGACAGGGGACTTCAGGCACCATAACCACTTTATCTCATTGAAGTGTAAACTATAATTTCTCTGGAATTCACATTACTGAATAAAACATAAAAAATCTCCTAACACATATGTTAACATTTTTTACATTTAATTTTATTTTCTAGCCCCCAACAATAACAAATATTTATTAAATATAGGGCATTAGTAAATATAAAATATTAAAAATCCTGGGATGTAGTGGAAATAAATAAAAAGGTAAAAATAATATCGAACAAGAAGAATTTTTATTCCCAGAGGAACTGAAGTAGTCATAAAATTAATTATCAATTTTTTAAATTACTTTTTTGAATCTATAGAAAACATTACAATAGGTTCAGTTCCAGCATAAAATATCACTTTAAAAATCTACATGTAAAACAGACTTTGTCGATGACAGATGCAGACATTTCCTCTGGCGCTGGAAGCATTGTATATCATTGAGTTTCCTTGTGATTCATAATGTGCAAGATAATAGGGGTTGTACAGTGAATTACAAAACATGTCGACGTGAGATGACTCCACGTATGTGCAATGACTTTACTTGTAACCCGGAGCAATTTAACTCAGTCGTGAATCATGAGCGTTTAATCACAGTAACACACCTACAATTATAGAGGTCAAAGTCTCTCTTCGTGAGGAAGAAATACCTTCATCCACTCTAAATCTGAAATGTCTTTATTGGGAACGTCAGCGAAGTCATACTTTATTCAAGAAATCTGCCAGTTTGACAATAATAGCGAATTGTCATTGAGCACAGAAACAGGATGCTTTCATACAGAGGAAAGATAAATTCGGAACAAGTTGTCTTTCTTTACTTCTGACAATCAGGACTAGTATCTGAGCCGGAAGTATAAGCTAAACAGGACAGGCTTTCCATTTGAAAACAATAATTGCATTCCTTCCTACTGTCCACACTGGGATAGTCTCGATTTAGGACCTCTGACGAGAAACCTGACGGTTTCCTGCTTTTCCGTTTCCTATAAAAAGTTTCCAAAAATTACAGGTCATCAGGATGAATTGTAAGGCCATTAAGCAGCATGTCAGAAGCGCTGTGCACACATGGACTTGTAAAACCTTATGTAATCTTGGTTGTCTCTTGCTACTCTGGGTTGATGGCACAAGTCATGCCAGAGAATCTCCCGGCATACTAATGGTGGCACATTTTTTAAGTTAATGGGTGGATGGGCGCTGGATGGTACACCTGCTGCCGTAGCTTAATCCAGACCCATCTACACATGGGGTGCGGGATTGTTTAGAAGGAGTTTGCTATTAATTCCAGATTAATTGTAGTTTACAGGACTCCCCAATCTATATTAATTCTTCAATCAAAGTGCATGAATGAGAGGACAGAGGGAGACACGGTTGGACAAGTTCAACAACAACAGAACTGGTCGTTGTTCTTGCATTAACCTTCATTGACCTGACAACAATAACAGGAATATGTAGGGAATTCTCATACGGAAATCTCTACTCGTTACTGGTATAAAGGGAATTTACAAATCCCAACTAAAAAGATCATTAGGCTACACACAGATGTAAACTTACTTCCTGTACAAATTCCTGAACCAACCAGAATTATGTTAAACAAAATATAATGAAACCTAAATGTGGCCCCGTAATCTAAGCTATAGAGCCATCAGCTGCTACATTAGAACATATATAAACGTAAATGTTTAGTAATAATAAACTAAAACATGCTCTTCCCACCACTATGCCACAGTTTGTAAGTATGATGGTCGAATGATAACCCAGCATGCAGTATGTAAACCCACAGAAAACCCAAATATGTAATACCGAATCTTAGAATGGTAAGAGATCGTGACAGTGAGACCCATCCAGACAGCTGACATTGGTTGTTTTTGTGCAGTGTGTAACCCCTTAAGGACCAAACTTCTGGAATAAAAGGGAATCATGACATGTCACACATGTCATGTGTCCTTAAGGGGTTAAAGCACGGATCTCAAATCAAGCTTTCTCGATGTTGTTCAACTACAACTACCATGATTCTCTGGCCATCTGTTCCATCCAGTTCTAGACCACCAACATCTGGGGGGGGGGGTTAAGGGGCAAAGTTTGAGATCCCTGCTTTAACCCCTTAAGGATACATGACATGTGTGACATGTCAGGATTGCCTTTTATTCCAGAAGTTTGGTCCTTAAGGGGTTAAAGGATTGACACATTTTATATATTTATAAATATGTCCATCAGTCCATCAGTTTAAAAGTCAGTTTACAGGGATCCTGTGAGCATTAACTTAAAGGACAGAGTGGTCATGGGACAGGAGACAAAGTACTGTAGAAGAAGCAAAGGTGATGAAAAAGTCACGTTAATATAAATGAAAGTCAGGCTGGCACCAGAAAGTGGCTACGAAGAAACAATGAGAATTTCTTGGTTAACAAGCTACATATACAATAATCGTTTCCCTATATACATTTTAATGATTCCATAAGGTTGTACATCAAGCCTGCAACATGTCTCCTTAAAATGTTACAATCTTGTAATCAACTGGGCTTCAATGAGCCCAACGCAACTTAGCAACGTACCTGCATGAATAGCAAAAAAAACAGAGAATACAAAAACTCTGAGAACGGGCAAAAGCTTAGAGAAACTTCGTAGCTTGCCCTTCGGTAAATCCCAGCTCAGGTCCTTTACAAAGAGAACCTATACCATTTACATATCAGATGATCCCACCCGTAAGGGCAGCCCAGAAACAAAATGTTGGCAAGCTCTCTCTGCACGAGAGATACAGCAACCCTAGATTGGTCGTTTCGACCTTCTTTGGGCCCAAATTCCATTACTGATTCAGAAACTTGCAACAAACTGGCAAAATAAGATTGTTTCACTTAGAAAGTCACACTAAAATGTTTATACTTTTTTAATTCAATTTTTAATAATTCAATAATTTAGTTCAAAAAAATTGCAGTTTAACAATCATCTCGTCCCATCCGTCTACGCACAATCACAGATGTTGCAATTCTAACTAAGAGGTGTGGATTAATTTGTCATCGAAATGACTCTCCTGTTTAGCCCAGAGCCAGAGAAAAGATTAATCAGGATGCGAAATATCAGCACATCCTCTCAAGTCTTCTAATCGGCTACAGCAGCTGCTGCAGCTATTACTGCGGGAATGTTACTGAGAGGCACTGCTTTGGATAAACTTCTCATGCTTTCTGGAAATAGTGTCTATTTATCCGGCTGCGGGCGAGAGCTGTCGCTTGAGTTATAAAAAAAATAAAGTGTTTTATGGCAGTCAAAAAATATTCTAATTTTTAAAGTATTCTCCATAATGTTAAAGAAGATTTTTTAAAGAGAAACATTGGATAAAAACTTTGTTATAAAAGAAATATCTCTGTCTCTCTAGCTCTCTCTCTATGTATGTATGTATCTATCTATCCCTCCGTCTGTCTGTGTGTCTGTCTGTCTATCTATCTGTCCCTCCTTCTGTCTGTCTGTCTATCTATCTATCTATCTGTCCCTCCTTCTGTCTGTCTGTCTATCTATCTATCTCTCTGTCCCTCCTTCTGTCTGTCTATCTATCCCTCCGTCTGTCTGTGTGTCTATCTATCTATCTTTCTGTCTGTCTGTCCCTCCGTCTGTATGTCTAACTGTCTATCTATCTATCACCTCAGTCTGTCTGTCCATCTGTCTGTCTGTCTATCTATCCCTCTGTCTGTCTAACTGTCTGTCTATCTATCTATTTATCTATCTACCTTTCTATCTGTCTGTCCCTCCGTCTAACTGTCTATCTATCTATCCCTCTGTCTGTCTGTCCGTCTGTCTAACTGTCTGTCTGTCTATCTATCTATCTGTCTGTCCCTCCAACTGTCTGTCTGTCTATCTATCTATCTATCTATCTATCTGTCTATCCCTCCATCTGTCTGTCTGTCCGTCTGTCTGTCAATTTATCTATCTTTCTGTCTGTCCCTCCGTCTGTCCGTCTGTATAACTGTCTATCTATCTACCTTTCTATCTGTCTGTCCCTCCGTCTAACTGTCTGTCTATCTATCTATCTATCCCTCAGTCTGTCTGTCCCTCCGTCTGTCTATCCGTCTGTCTAACTGTCTGTCTGTCTATCTATCTATCTATCTGTCTGTCTGTCCCTCCAACTGTCTGTCTGTCTATCTATCTGTCTGTCTGTCCCTCCAACTGTCTGTCTGTCTATCTATCTATCTGTCTGTCTGTCCCTCCAACTGTCTGTCTATCTATCTATATATCTATCTATCTATCTATCTATCTATCTGTCTGTCTGTCCCTCCAACTGTCTGTCTGTCTATCTATCTATCTTTCTGTCTGTCCCTCCGTCTGTCTGTCCGTCTGTATAACTGTCTGTCTGTCTATCTATCTATCTTTCTGTCTGTCCCTCCATCTGTCCGTCCGTCTGTATAACTGTCTGTCTGTCTATCTATCTATCTGTCCCTCCATCTGTCTAACTGTCTGTCTACCTATCTAATCTTTGCCTGTTAGGAGTTTACAGTTTTTAGAAAAACTGGAATGCTAATACAGTAGGGATCATGGGAAGTGCGTATTTGCATTAAATGCTGTCTGAGGGGAAGTCACAGCCACCTGAGAGAAGTTTTATAAAATGAGAACCTTATATAAAATAATAATGAGAGAAGATATTGTACTTTATATTCTGCATTCCAAAGAAAGTCGTCTCATCTGATTTGTGAGTGCTCTTCTATAAACACGCAATATGCGCTACGAGCAGAAAGGGTTACGAGCTGCGACGTTTGTCCATAATCAGAAATACAGATTATATTAACCTGGAAACCTGGGGTAAGGATAGTGTGAAAGTAAATTCAGCAAAAAGCTCCTTTATGTGGAAATGAGAAATTACATTTGTACATTGGTTGGAGGAAACTAGAAAATGGAGTCTGGGTGATTGGCAGACAGAGAATTATGGGTAATGTTGGTACGAATGCGTTCAAACTGCAACTGATAGAGCTGAATTTGCATACTGCAGCAAGGAATCATGGGAACATTATGGCCAGTATGCATGAGTACACAGGACATTAATCATTTAAAAATGAAGTTCACTGGGTGCATCAGTATTTATTAATATAGATAAATATATAAAAGCAAATCGAACGACCTAATGCACAGATAATTTTTCATATAATATTTAATGGATTTGTAATAAGCATTTATACCATGACACCTATACGATTATAGTCATTGTATTTCAGAAACTGTGCAGTCAGGAAATTATATCAAATTATTAAAGTGAGAATTTAAAGTGAATTCTAATTTAAGTTAAAAGTTGTCGAAATGGAAAACTTTCTCTGTTAGGTATATCCAAATATAGCTTATCCATCATCTCTGAGTTAGACATCCATCTTCACTTTGAATAACCAGAAATTATTTCAGTTTTATAAGAAGAACAATAAGAATTTTTGGTAGAACTTGAATGTATGCGACCTTACGGTGAACGCTCATGTATTGAAAATGAGCCTTTATAAGCCGTATGTTTTAATCAGATAAATCGGAGATTCTCATTGGCATCCAAAATCTATGTTCATTAAAGGCCAACTATTGCGCAAGGAAAACAAACTTGTTTTCCTGGCTCTATAGGGTCTTTGGGTCCCCCCCCACCCTCAGGGTCCCACTCTCGCCGGGCTGAAGGGGGAGGAAGGGGTTAAATTCTTACCTTTCTCCAGCACCGGGCTCCCTCGGCGCTGGGGACTCTCCTCCCTCTTCCCACGTCATCCGCCGAATGCGCATGCGCGGCAAGAGCCGCATGCGCATTCAGTCAGTTCATAGGAAAGCATTTTTCAATGCTTTCCTATGGACGCTGGTGTCTTCTCACTGTGAAAATCACAGTGAGAAGCATGGAAGCGCCTCTAGCGGCTGTCAGAAAGACAGCCACTAGAGGCTGGATTAACCCTAATGTAAACATAGCAGTTTCTCTGAAACTGCTATGTTTACAGCAGGCAGGGATAACCCTAGATGGACCGG